ACCCTACCCCAAGCACCAAGCACCTTCTAATTAATGTAATTTAGAGGTAGAAGACTGCACTCTGAGCCATCAAAACAGCATCAATTTCACTCAGTAATTAAATATTTTATCCTTCTCTGACTTTAATATACCATAAGATTTTTTTTTTAAATCTCTGTATGCGCTCTGTTAAACACTCACACATTTATCCATGGAGCATAAACATAGTCAAGTAGATGTTAAACTGTAAACCTCTGTAACACTAAAGAGAGTCATGTCACTCATGTTTTCAGCTTAATGTGCATGATTTTCTGCTTAAGAGTGAAATGGAAATCGAAATGAGAATTACTAAAAGAAAATCAATGCTTCTTCCTCTTTATCCCCAGTCTCTATAAACCACTGTTCAATATATACATTTCAATTGAACAGTGGTGTATATATATAGACATATATAATATATATGAATATATATAATTACATATAATGTAATATATATACATTATATAATATATATTACATTATATAATATATATTATATATATATTACATATATATATTTAATATATGTAATATATACATTAATATACATTATGTAATATATATAATATATACGTAATACATATATATATATAATGTATACTATACACACACACACACACACACACACACACACGAATAACTAAGTACTTCAGGGTAATACCATGCTTTAGTAGTTTGGATCAGAAGGCTAACAGAAAATAATTAAAGGAATTGTGGGGGATGGAAACAGCAAACCACCTTGCCACGTATGTACCTATGCAATAATCCTGCATGATCTGCACATGTATCCCAGAATGTAAACTACAAAAAATAAATTAAAAAAATAAAAAGAATCCACAAACAAACAAAAAAGAATTGCTTCCCTTGCTTTTTTCTGCTTTTGAAATGGATATATCAATATGACTAAAATATTAGGGAAATCCCAGAATGTGAAGAGAAAACATTGACAGATTTTAACTGGACATGTATATCTGTGGGCATAACTATGTTATTATCTATACAAATATCAACTATATATTTAGAGTTAGATTTAGATATTCTTTATTAATAATAATAGCTAATATAAGTGTTTAATATTGAATAACATTAAAGATAATTGTAAGCCCTAAAAGTATATGTAAATCCATACTTTTGGTTTTTTTAGTGGTGTTAAACACAAGGTTTCTTTAGATTTTTTAATTAGGTTGGAGCATTATGGTTAGGTAAGAGTTTTTATGGGTTCTGTCTGTCATTCCTTCAGCCACTTACATATAATTAATACTCTGAAAACAAATTTTAAAAAATATGGGGAAAAGAACAGTTAATGACTATAAATGATTCTCAAAAATTATTCAGCTTTTTAGTGATGCCATTTGAGTAAATCATGTTATCATCTTATCTCTTTGGGACTTAGTTTCCTGATCTACCTACCTTTACATAAAATAATGTTACCTGTGTTATTCTAATGTTAACTCAGTTTGCTTAAAATCATCAGATTTTAATTGAACCTTAAAAATGTCTCAAGCACCAAACTATGGGTGACAAATATATGGGTTAGAAATTCTCTACCCACCAGATGCTAAAAATTCTGTGTGTGTGTGTGTGTGTGTGTGTGTGTGTGTGTGTGTGCATGCAGTAAATTGGTCGAAGCACAGAAGGTATGAGGAAGGGTGTCTGTTTTAGTATAAGTTATAATATAGGACAAAAAAAATCCCTTTTTATTGATCCTGGCACAATGAAACTGCATCTCCTTTGGGTCACCAATTTCTCTCTCTGTCTCTGTCTCTGTCTCTCTCTCTCTCTCTCACACACACACACACACACACACACACACACAGAGAGAGAGAGAGTTTTTAGCATCTGGTGGGTAGAGAATTTCTAATCCATATATGACATTTTTAAGGCTCAATTAAAAACTGATGAGCTTAAGCAAACTGAGTTAACATTGTAATAACACAGATAGCATTATTTTATGTAAACATAAGTAGATAAGGAAACTAAGTCCCAATGAGATAAGGTGATAACATGATTTACTCAAATGACATAAGTAAAACAAAACAAAACAAAAAAAATCTAGATGTCAGAGTGGAGTTATCTGTACCTGGAATTTACTGGAATCTCAAGCAGAGCCTTCTAGATCTACATGGTGGCTACCTGAGAGGTAGCTCTCTCTCAAAATTGGAGCCCTGGCTTATGGAGGAAAGAGCTTGGATTTTTGAGTAAGATCCGTGTTCCGGGACTCACTGCCACATTCACTAACCGTAGGATATTGGGTAATTATTCTAGCCAGTTTGAATACGAGCTTCTTCAACTAGAAAATTGGGCAAACGGTATTTCATAGATGTGATGGGAAGATTAAATCAGCTAACATATGTATTTTACTATTTTCCTGAGACACAGTAGTAGGTATACAGAAAAGAAATAGCATTTCTAAATTAAAAGTTCTTTAGGCTTAACAAAACCATACTATTTAGCAACAAATTCTTCCAATTAGGCTTACTGAGAAGATTAAAGTTAGAATGCTAGAGATCATTTACCCTGAAATTTAAAAACATCATCTATTTCCAAAAGGATGAGCAATTCCTAATTCCCAAACTTCCATTCAACTGCCCATTATCTGTTGATTTGTAGGGCCACAGTCCCACAGGGTGGTGGGGTGTCCCCTATTGCTGTGCTGAGTCACAGGATCTGAGAAATAAAGAGATGACACAAAAGGACTGGAAAAGAGCAGCTGGGCTCAGGGGGCCACGCCACCTATGAGTGGAGACAGGTGAGGCCCTGAACATCAGAGCATCTGTATTTATTAGGTACAAGGCAAGGGGAAGGATCGTGAGTGAGGTCATCTATAGGCTTAATGATAGGGCATACATAATCACGTGAGTAGCAAGCAAGGGGATCACCCAGACAAAGAGGTGAGCCGTGTGCAGTAGGGGACCGTGCCATGTGCAGTAGTAGAGGGTAGTGTACAAAAAGGGGGTCCATCCCCATTAGGTCACGGGCAAGGAGGTGAGCTGTGCGCAACAAGTGCTGTGCACCACACTTCTTAACTGGGGACTGGAGGCTTCAAAGGATTCCCATAGAGGGATGCTGTTAACCAATGAAGTGGGAGCTGACAGAGTGTACTCTTCTCTAAGATAGTTTATAGGAGGATGATTTCAGCCAGCCCAGTAGCAAGAAAAAGCTGACAGGGTGTACAGCCACCATGGCATGATTACACCAGAGGGATTCTTCTCCCTCGGTGGTTCGCCGGATCTCAGGCCCGAGGTCTACTTCCAAAAGAACTGGATGCAAGGTACTGCCATTCCTTTTCAGGAGGAATAACTCTTGCTCAAAGCTGGCTATGCAGCAGGTACTGACTGCTGCCGTCTAGGCCCTGACCTGCCATATAGTGTGTGCCCTTTTAGCCAGGGGCCCTACCGCCTGCGTCACTGGTTCTTGTCCTGGCCTGGCCCTTTTTCCCAGGTACTTGCTTCTGCTCTGTGACTGTTCTAGGCATTCCACCTACTACAAACTACTATATGATTACAGAAAGATTATATAAATCAGCACTAAATGTGTGGATACAGCTCCAACTACAATCCATTATATGATTATATAGAAAGATTATATGAAACTCAGTATGGTTATATATGTAAGCTAGATATAAGATTATATGGAACTAAGTATGATTATATATGTAAGCTAGATATAAGTAAGCAGTAAGTTATACTTCAAGTACTAATTGTGCCTTGGGTCTGCACAGCTCTCCTTCCTAGGTACCCATGTGGCAGTTACCCACACTGATTAACATATTCCCTGAGTGCCAGAGCCCATGTAATCTCTCCCATTTTACTGCTACTTACACCCACGATTCCCAAGGTATGTGCTGAGGCACACTGGCGTGCTACACCAAATTGTCAGGGGCACATCAGGACATTGTAACTTGTTAGGAAAACCAAGTGATACTCCGTTTCCATCAGGCACAGAGTGAATTGCTAGTTTGCTTTACATGCATTTCAATGCTATCATATCTTTGGGAAGCCGAGTTTTCAGCAGTTGCTGGGATAAAGATGAAAGCCCATGTTTCAGTGTGAAATGGGAAATGAGGAGGGCAGTGTCTGACGTGATTGCAAGCGTTGAAAAGGTGAGCAGTGCCCCATACATGCATACTTCCCATTAGCAAGCACTGCTTGTGGTCATTTAAGAAAGAAGAACATTAATTTTTCTTGGAAATTATATGCCTTTTTTTTTTTGGAGTGCTATAAGTTTTTAGGAAACAAATACTTCTTGTTTGAATAAAACTACCTAATAAATGAAATGTTTATGTATTTAACATGGTTCTTCAAGTATAATTTGTGACCTACCTGTTATATGTAAATTTTCAGTACCACAAAAGAAGTTCCACTCATATATAAATTTTCTCTGCAAGGCAATTTACTTGCATAGAAGGATGCATCTCACAGATGGGGCAATGGCAAGTGCACACCAGAACAAGGGAGGAGAAGGGGTTCTTATCCCTGATACAGGTAGCCCTTACTGCTGTGCCATTCCCCTATTGGCTGGGGTTGGACCGCACAGTCTAAGCTAATTCCAATTGGCTATTTTAAAGGGAGCAGGGATAAGAGCCAGAGTGGTAGTGTGAGCAGTTCAGCAGGAGGGATGGTTATGGAACAGGAAACTAAAGGTGACTCAGGTTAAAGCAGGTTACCAGGGGAACAGATGTGAACTACTGACTAGACGTGGTGGAAAGTTGTTTACTAAAACTGGGGATAAGGGAGTGAACCAGGAAGTTAAACCAGGAAGTTAAACTTTAAAATGGAGAACAAAGAACAGGGGAGTGGAACATGCTGATACATTGGTTCTTTGGAGACGATCTCAGAACTCATTGTACATAACAATTTACAGGCTAAAACCTTTGAAGAAGAATTTATTATATCCTACATACCCACACCAAAATCACCTGGAAAACTTTTAAACACTCCTGAAACTTAATTTTTGAAATCTACTTTATAAATAAATTATCTAGCTTTGAGCAGTGGCAGTATCGTAGCCAATGAGGTTTATCCAAGGCACAATTATTGCTAATTGAAAACTTTTCCCAATACCTCACCATAGTGACTTGAAATATAGTCGGCACTGGCAATTTTTGGTAGTCTCTACAGAGACCGAATAAAAAATAATAAATAATAAATAAATAATCTAGTTAATTTTTCTATAAGTTAAAATTGAAAAACCACTCACCTAAATTCACATTTTTGTTCAACATTCTAGGTTATAGCTTATTTACTTTTCAGCCAAAACTCTTTTCCTTGAAATATCTGTTTGCATTTTTAGACCTCAATATCACCTACAGCTGAAGAAAGGGCCCTTTTTCACCTTTTGTCTTTAAAGCAATAGGAGCCACAGAAAAATAACCAGGAGGCTAAGGGCTGGAAGTCTGGTCCTCCCTGTTATCATTGTTTATGGGAACAGCCAGGTAGTATTGATTTGTCACCTGGTGATGTTAATTACCAGTGAAGCATTCAAATGGTTACTCTTTTTCTCAGCTCTCAGCTTGATCCCTGAAGTTTCAGCATGGAGTCGGGAAGCGTTTAATGGAAAGTTAATCAGCCAAATTCTCCCAGTTCAGAAGTTACTCTCTGGCCCTGGCCCATGCTTGGAACACTGGGAGGTGTCCATGTAAGGTGGGGAAGCAATTATTTACTGAATGCTTCCCAGAGGGCCCAAAAGAGGTAATGACCCTCAACAGGCACCTTCTGGAGTCCCTTGGAGCCACTTATTTACCACAGAGAGAATGTCCTGACTCATTATGCTTTTAAAGATTTGTTTATTTTTGTCAAGGAGGGAAGCAAATAAGCAAAGAGGTGCTTGCTTCTGAGATGCCAACAAGGAGGAATTTTGTTTGTTTGTTTTTTAAGTAGGAGCATCCTATCTGTATGAGAGGATAGTGTGAGAGAGACTCCGGGAATCTAGATTTGATTTGCATGTTAACTTTTCTGCTTTCAATCAATAACTGCTTAATAAAGTCTCTGGCTAAGCATTCTGAAATTGATTTTCTAAGATAATTTGCATTTAATAATTTGAAGTGCTTTGCACAACAGCCAGTATTTAGGGGGAAGAAACAGAAGGTGTTGTGATTGCCATACAGAGAAGACTTAAGCTTAGCTTGTGTTGTGGATAATAGAGGTCTCTGTTGGAGATGACAGTCTTCACAGGTCTGGATCATCAGGCCACTGGGAGACGGTTTCACATGGTGAGAAGGGTAAAGCTCTGGGTATTACCTGGTTTTGGAATTCTCTTCTGTTCTAGGACACATCATTTTCCCTCCATTAACCTTAGAATCTTGTATCTATAAATTAGATATAATAGTACCCACCACACAAGATGTTGATTCTTTTCTGAATATTCCAAAATACATCCCTATCTCCTATCCCAGATGATTTACCTTCTTATTGTGAACCACCACTATTTCTTACTGAGGAATGCTTTCTGTCTGGTCCTCGCTTACTTGCAGTTTGTATCCCTCCTCAATCCATTTTCAATGCTATAATTGAATATTATTCTGTGAAAATTAAATATACATATTTTTGTACTTCCCTGGCTCAAAAGCTTGTAATAGTTCTTCTGGACGTTAGGATGATGGGACAGCTGTGGGTCCAGTCCCTGCCAGCTTAATCTTGCATAGCCCCTCACATAAGCTTGACCTTCCAGCCTCATTAATATTCTATGTCTTTCTCAGGTGTGCCAAACAAACATCTAAGACAAGCGTCTACATTAGCTGTTTTCTCTTTCTGGAAATTTCATCTACTGTTTGTCGTCTGAGTATTTGCTTCTCATTATTTTTGTTTCAGGATAAAATTACTTCTTTCAAAAATTTTTTCTTGTTCATGGAGATTTTAAATGCTCCTTCATGGACTCCTATATTCTTTTACAGAGAGTTTCTCAATATAATTTCTATATTAGACCTGCCCAGGCAGCACTGTAATTGTCTTTCTTACACTCTGTGAAGTCTGGGACCAGCTCTGCATTGTGCTTAATAAAAGACAGATTTGGTCAGTATTTTTATCCGTAAATAGGGGCTACATTTCAATAAGATTGTTGTATGAAATAAGTAAGTTACTAAATGAAACATATCTAGAACAGACACTCAATAAATTTGTTTCCCATATATACTTGGAATATGGGTTATCAGATTATGTTTGAGCAATTCATTCATTCATTCAACAAATGTCTGAAGTGCCAGCATTTATTAGGTACTGTTTCAGGCCCTGGAGACACAGAAACCAGAAAACAGACCCTTCTTCGAAGAGAAGTATATAACAGTAGAATATGTATGCACCAGGAGTTTGATTCTTTATGGCTGATTTTGTCAACTTGTATGAACTACCTTTGGCACTGAGGAAGCTACAGTTCACAGTTAAATATGGTCCTGAAATGAAAATATCTACTTGGAAACACATCCGCATTATCAGATATGTTGGATCTTCCTGAAAACCCTTTGGACCTTGTGTTACCAAATCAATGAGTACGATCAAAATTGGGCTGAGAAAACATGTGTGAGTTCCGTCAGGAGAACTGGACTATCTATAAAGGGCCCAGGCATCCTGATGGACTCTCTTGTGTTGGGTATGTTATGCACTGCATATTTGTGTCCTCCCAAAATTCATATATTGAAATCCTAACCCCCAATGTGCTGGTATTAGGAGGTGGGGACTCTGGGAGTTAATTCATCAATGAAGGTGGAGCACTAATGAATTAGAGTAGACCCTTACAAGAAGAGACAGGAGACGTTGCTGTTTGTCTCTGCTCTCTGCCATGTGAGGCCACAATAAGAAGATGGGCATTTGCAAACCAGGAAGACAGCCTGCAAGAGACGCCAGATCTGCCAGCACCTTTGTCTTGAACTTCCAGCCTCCACAACTGTGGGAAATACATTTCTGTCGTTTAAACTACCCAGTCTGTGGCAATTTGTTAAAGCACTCAAACTATACCTTGAGAAATACAAGAAGGAAAAGGAAAACAGAGAAGCAGTTCTGTTCTTTGGAGGACCACAATTGCTTGTCTGGACCCAGAAAACATTTCCCATTTGCTATGCAGATGCCATCCCACCCTTCCAGGCGGGTAATGCTCACTGATTTTCTTCCTTCAATTCACATTCAGAGAATGGAATTATCACTTAATCCACAAGGATTAATAACTCCTGAGTACTAATTACTGTGAAGGGGGCCAGAGGTAACGGGCGAATAAGACCACAGTCTTATTTTTTTCCTTCATAAAGCTTTCAGTTCAACACAAGACACTAACATTTTAAAAAATAATTTATATAATGTATATTTAACTACAACTATAATAAATGTGGTAGCAGAAAACTGCAAGGTGCTAAGAAAAGACAAAACACCTAATCACAGTCTCATGTATTCTGTGTAAAGAAAGGCTAATGTGCTTATTCGGGGAACCTCATTTAAGAGGTGAAAGTAAATGTTGAAAAACGTTACTCCGGCAACAGAAGTGTCAGAGACCAGTAGACTGTGCAGTAGAGATATTACAGGCAATGGTTCATAAACTAGAAAAAGCTGGAAGCATTTGAGAAACAAAAAAAATAAGGCCAGGGTGTCATAAGGGTAGAGACAAATTAGGAAATTGGTTCAGATGAGGCCAGCAGGAAAGGTAGGAGTTGCTCATGCTGAGCTAGGTCATGTTCATTTATTTAGGCACTGTGCTAAATGCTTTACAGACACTACCCAATTTAATTATTATAGTACCTTGTGCATATTAATATCATTCCCTGACAGTTGAAAAAACCAAAATTGGGACAGCTAATGTGACTTGTCTGAAGTCTTTCCGCTAGGAACTGAAAGACTGGAATTCAAATCAGGGCTTACCTGACTGTGAAATCTGTAATAATAATAATTATTAAAGCGTATTACACTGCCTCCATGCATATCAGACATTAATGGTTTTCACTTGCTCTCAATTCAGTTCCCAGAAGCCAATGAAAGAACATTCTTTCTCTATTCTTCTATCTCACAGACCTCTGCTTTCTCTTCCTTTACCTTATGTGGCTTATTAGAAGGGACTGCTCTGGAAATGTACAGGATGGGTGTGTCTTCTCTGCCATGGAATTGCATGTCTAGTGCTCCTGAGCCCAAGTGTTCAGGGACAGCGTGAGCATTTCACAAGGACAGTAGTCCCTGCCACCCCTAGTGACGTTGCCATCATCTTGGGATTGCAAATTCACATGTTATGTCTCCCTGATATGGAATGACTTCGTGTTTTAACACCTCACTGAGGACATTCCATCTGCATTTCTTTTATATAGTCAAGCACAGTTTTCTTTTTCAGAGTTCAAGACTTCAGCAGAAAAAAATCACCTTGTTAAAGGAAAATTGTGCCTTATCCCCCACTACTCTAAGATGCAACCATCTCCCTGGTCACAGCCACGTTTCCTTTTTTTCTGTAAGTACAGGATCCAAAATTTATGCAAATTAAAAAAGCTGCGTCTAGAATAATAATTTCTGTAGGCTCAGCAAGACTATTCTTCACGGCATTTGTCTTTGAAATTGCAGTCAAACTGAGTGAATGAAAGCACCCCTTCCCTCTGACACAGCCGCTGCAAATTGTGAATTATGACCAAATTCCAAAGTGTTATTTAATGTAGCTGGGAAGAAAAGGTGTGAATGATCACCCATTACCACTTTATACCCAGAGATCAGTCTCCAAGTTCAAGCCTTTTCTCTTAGCCATGCCAGAAAAAATTACACAGGCCACTACTAGCTTTTATAACTCCCTTAGGCAATGCTGGAGTGATAAACATGATGAGAATGAAGTCTTGCCACGTGTATCTAACAGCACCATGGAGAGTGGCTAGCTCAGTGCTGACTCAGCACTCGGTTCATGTTAAAGGTTTAACACATTATCTCGTTGTCTCTTTGGGTATCTCATTCTAGGCAGGAGCAGACTGTGTGTGCATGGTTATTAGTCTCCAGATACATCCTGTTATGCAACTGATCTCTCCTACTGTCACTCTGAGAGGAAAAGAAAGCTTTGCACTAAGCTCAAATGCCAGTGATGTGGGGCTCATTTCCATGGTCTCTGAAAAAGAAGATGTTCTCCATAGGCAAAGACTTACATATCTTCCATACTCAAACTCACCTTCTAGGAGGTT